GATTACATAAGACGGGGTCTACTCATTTTGAAAATAGCTGGATAAATTTGGAAATAGGAAATCTTCATTTATTACTTGAACCATCAAATCAATGGACTTTGATAAATTAACAGGAAGCTACTTAGAATTAGATACATCTTAGATGAGATCAGTTTCTTTTTTTAGATTTAGAAGTGAAATGAAAGTTGATGAAAGGATTTCTGATTCTTGAATAATAATATTTGAAGTATTTTCAGTGTGACATTTTGTTACTAGATTAAGTAAGTTGTGTATTAAATTATTTAATTATTGAGGATAGAAGAAATATTTTGTCAGCTTTATAAATTATAGAATAGAAACATTGATAGAAAAAGATTTAGGTTTAAAAAGAAATCAGTTATTATTGATAGTTTTAGATAAAAGTTATTTTTTCAAATGCAAAAATATGATTTCTTGTTATTTCTAAGAATTGTGATCAACGTCGATTTTTCCTTGTATCTATCGCTTTCTACTGACGAGATAAAGTCAGAACAATATGCATTACATTACACATACACCCACGTATATGTATGTTGGTCGCAACAGGTCATTTACCTGAAACCTGTACTCAATCCTCAGTTTCTTATTCGACATTAAACGAAACGAGAAAAATTGAAATTACCAAACAGAGCAAGTTAAACTTATATTTTTTTATCGATAACTCTTTATGTAATTTCTACAATTCGGAATAACGTAACGGAATAGCTATTATGTTACATATAATCGTTTATCTTATACGCGATTTGTATCATTTAATAAAATCAATATTTATAAAAGTTGAAACTTCTCATCGGTTATTCAACAAGCATAACCCGCGTATTATTTTAACATTTAAAAAAACAAGTTTAAAACTACCGACTCAACTGTAGAATATACTTATCACTATTTACATAACGATGTACATTATCTTTCCTAATAAATCACATTTATTCTTCTTCATCGATTAAGAAAAAAATTATTTGAATATAAAAACTAGATGATAAAGCAAATATGTTGCCTCTTTTAACCACTGAAACGAACTACTTTCCAATATTAGCTATCACAAGAAATATCCATCAAGTTGAAAAAATGAAAAATAATCCATTGTTAAAATGGAACGTCGAATTCTACTATTAAGCAAAACAAGCTATCCTTGCTAAGTGTTCGATCGTTTAACTTAACTCGTCCTACCCAGAGGCTCTCTCCAACCCAACTACAATCTGACATTTATCCAACACGTAAATCTAATCCTCGCGTCCTTAACGTCCATATTTATTCTCCAAGTACTGAATGAAGCAAAACCATCGAATTCACGTATCACAGACACTGAGAGATTCATAATCGCTCCATTGCACAATCGTCTTCATTTACATCTATTCCACTCATACTTTTACTTTCAATTGAACACATTCACGCTCAGAAAAGGAGCATATTCCCTTGTAACACGAAACAATATTATGGTACCACAAGCAGACCCTCTGACAAATACCCTCGCCTAATTTAACCAAACCTTGTTTCTACTAGTGCAACATAAATGACAAGGAAGACAGTCAAAGAAGAAAACTCACTTATATTCTTAAAAACGAATCATAGAAAATTTCACAGTCCTTGGATTCTCTCTGCAAACTCGACACTTCAAGCCTTTAAAAAGAAAAACTTCATTATTTGTTTATCGTTAATCCTATAAAATAACAAATAAACGAAAATTATTGTATTGCAGAAAGAATTGTCTACGTACGAAAAGAAAGCTCAGAAGAGGACGAAGAATTGAATTTCGATACTGTAGCCGTCACGGAAGGGAACGGTAGAAGAAGTGAAGGGAAGGAGAGAAAAGACGCCTAGAGACGCGGTAGCCGGCGGCGTCCTCCGTGTCTTCGTTCGCGCAGCGCATCTTCTGAAATGGCAAGGTCACCGGTAGTTACGTCACCAACTTTCCTCGGCTTCTCTCGGCGC